AAAAAAAAATATGAGTTTTGTTTTATTGAATTTTTATTTTATTTTTAAAATTAAAGTGTTTTTTTCAAATGAGTGATTAAAGGCGCTCTATGAAAAGGTTGTGATGATAAACGCATTATCCTTACCTTCTTTGAGCTTTGAGTCCCAAACTAATTATAACAGTATATAAATATATCTATATATATATATATATATATATATATATCTATCTATATATATATATATATATATATATATATATATATATATATATATATATATATATATATATATATATATATATATATATATATATATATATATATATATATATATATATATATATATATATATAGATATATAGATATAGATATATAGATATAGGTAGATATTATTAAAAAATTAAAAACGTTTTAATCAATTTTTTAATGTTTACGATGTTATTTATTTTTTATATGGTTATATGAAAATTGTAATATTGTTTGATCAGCAAAATAAAAGTTATAATATTAATAAAAATAACAAATAAAATGCTAATTGTAGTAATTAAGTGTAAAAATCACATATAAAATTTTGGGATATGCTCGCTTTCCCCAGGCCTGTAACACACAATCTAGTCTTCCATGGGGAAATCATGAACTTAATACTGCAACAGTCTTTTAAAATTAATCTTTTATTTTTTTAGTTATTAAAACTATAAAAAATACAAACAAATATCACAAATATCACCTCGGGCACTCTTTTTTTGATGGCATGATGGTAAACTCTATTTGATTAAACTTCTTCTTTCTCTTTTTACTTTTACCAACCTTTTTTACTTCTTGTTCCTTCCTATCGTTCTTTTGCTCTGAAATATTTCTTAATGGCTAACCAGTAGTTTGGAGTTTTTCTTTCTTAAACATTTTCAGTTTTTCTTTTTTTTGGCAAATTAGGTAATTTATCTTTTAAAATTAAATGAGAAAAATGTTTGAAAAGTTAATTTTCTAGACGCATGACGTCCATGTGTTTACATTTGTATACCCCACTAAGGTTATTCGTTATTTCCCCCGCGGTCACAAGCAATTAAAATACAATTAATCTATTGAGGTTATATTAACATACCTAAAATATAATATGTGTATAAATACTCTTTTATTATGATACTAATGGATAATGAGGAAGTTATCGGACAAATCTGAATTTAATTATTTGAGCATGATAGTTTGTTTTTGTGGTTTTATGCCTAGGCTTAAGCGTTTTATAAAATGTAAACTTCATTATTTGAAACACAATTATTTAAAATGAGGTTAAATGCAGCTGAACGAAAATCTTTTCGAAAGCGACTCAAAATGTTTTTGGACAACATGCCTGGAAATTTTAGATACTACACAAATAACAAAAAACATCCCCAAAAAATGATCGTTTTATAAGAAAAGAGAAATTTTCTAAAAAAAAATAATAACGTGGATAGCCATATCTGACCGTGGTATGTCCGAGCCATTGTTTTGCACTTCCAAGGCTGAAGCAATTAATTCATCAATCTATATTAATGAATTTTTAGAAAAACGACTTTTTCCAATCATTCGCAAGTATCATGGAGACTTTAACTATTTATTTTTGCCAGATTTAGCAAATTCTCATTATTCTAAAGATTCTCTAAATTGTATCTAAGATGTATTGTATCTCTAAATTGTATGTAAGATGTATTGTATCTCTAAATTGTATGTAAGATGTACTAGATGTAACTATTAAGTTTATAAAGAATCCGATCCCCATACGTGTCTTAAGCACGACCAATTGAAAATTTTCGGGAACATTTGGCACAGAAGGTTTACGAGGGAGATTGGCAAGCTCCGACAGAGCAAGTTTGATTGATCAAATTAAATTAAAACTAGAAGAAATCGATTTAAATTTTTTACAGTCGCTAATGAAAGGCGTTAGAGAAAAATTGAGATCAATTGCAGATGTTTTTTTTATTTAAAAAATCACTTATTTTTATTAAAAGATAAACACTTTATTTGAAAAAAATATAATTTTTTTTTTTTTCATTTATAAATAAATTTTTATTTTGTTCGATAACTTACACATCACCCAACAACAACAAATGGAGTGGTTTTATATCCACAGTAGCTACAACAGAAATGATTCTCAAGAAAAAAGTTGTATGTATATATCAGTAAAATTTAAGATAAATTTATCGTGAACAGCAGACAATGCCCGTGTTATATATATATATATATATATATATATATATATATATATATATATATATATATATATATATATATATATATATATATATATATATATATATATATATATATATATATATATATATATATATATATATATATATATATATATATATACATATATATACAAGCTTATCATCTGACCAGACTATGATTTAGTATTAAAATTTTTTTTTAATTTTTAAAAATCCCAAGGGTCCAAGGGGTAAAAGGGGCAATTTTTAGGGTGTTTTGTACCATTTTTGAAACTGTATGGATGAAGTCTTAGCATTGAATTTTTTGATACATACTTTTTTATATTTATATTTGTAAAGACATATTTAATTGAAATAAAATAGGCTCTGATTTCAAAAAAAAAAAATTTAACTTATACAAATCTTATCTAAACTTATGGTTATTTAGATACTTGGTGAATTTAAAGTGTTTACATTACAAAAGCTTATGCAATTTTTTCGATGAGTTCTAAATCATTTTAATCCATAAGCTTTTATATTATTAATTATAATAAAATAATAAAATTAAAAGATAAAATTAAAGGATTAAAGATACAGAACAAATTTTGCTGAAGTGAAAAAGTAACATTCTTTTGAAGAGCATATTAAAAAAAGTATTTTGGATTGGAGAACATCTTCATGATATGTTAGGGGAAATATTAAAAGATAAAATAAGGAAAGTGAAAAACAAGGAAGAAGATAATGCTTTCTTAAATAATCAGCTGAAGAAATGATGAAAGAAACAAATTATTGGAGGTAAAGATAAAGACTCTAAGATAAAGTAAAGATATGAGTGTTCTGTATGAAGAAGTAAAAGAAGAACATCAAAGTTAAATAAAAATCAGCAAAGTTATATAAGAATGATTTAGATTATCTAAGTTTTGAAAGCAACGAATTAGACGAAGAAACGTCTAATTCGTTGAAAAAGATTTTGACTTTGAGCAAAATTAACGTATTTGGGAAAGTTTCAGGCACTATCCAAATTTAAAAATTGAGTACTTTTTTTTTAATTTTATTTTATTCATTAGCAAATAATGTTTTTTGCGAAAAAAAAATGCCTTCATTTGGCAATGTTTCCATCAATGTAACCTTGATAAAAGGTTACATTGATGGTGATCAGATATGATTGATTTTTTCGCGAAAAAAATCAATCAGATATAATTGATTTTTTTCGCCAAAGAAATATATTTGCCAATGAATAAGATAAAATTAAAAAAAACGACACTTATTGACTTGTGGGTACAGCCACCCAAATTATTTTTCTAGAATAGCCCCTAAAATAGGTTAAATTTTACTTACCGGAATAGCTTGCTATTCAAGATTTATTCGAAAAGGTTTATACTATTTAAAATTATATCTTTTAATGAATAATTTTCAAAACCTGACTGACAAACACAAAAAAAAAATAACTGCTATGGCTTTATTCATTTGTCTTTCCTATACCTAGTGGTTTCTAAAAACAGAGCTAGGTTCTTTGGCACCAACACAGGTATACGGTCTTTTAACATTTTATTAATAATTTAGAAAGCTCATCATTGATTAATATGATTTGAAATGATAATTAATATTATCTATTAGGATTTAAAAACTTACTGGCAAATGAAAAGATTTGAAGAATGGAACCTACTTGGATCTCGTGCTGTTTTTTGCTTTTTTTAAATTATTTTACGTGCCCTAAGAAGTTCATATGGTCTTATCACAGAACACCGCGGAAGAGAATTTAATAGGAAGTTCACGCCTCCTTACTAATCGATGTCGCCAGAAGTGGGGTTGAACCACGGATCTTTTGTTTCTGAGGCAAGTATGCTACCACTACGCCACGGCTGCTTTTTTGTTTCAAGCTCTTTTCTCAGATATACTTTGTATCTGGATCACATTTTAGTAGTTTTTGCCTTAGCAGATAAGGAATGTAAGGAACGTGGTGATATGGCCAATAAACTGTACTGTTTACAAAGATGTCCAAGTGACAGTTTTCCTTTGGAGCGTCAGATAATAGGCCAAGCTTTACTAAATAATCTCAACTTTAGTAAAAATTTTCTAGTTTGACTCCATTAACAATAGACAAGACGTGGCTAGTTTTTGACATACTATGGCATGGATAGGCGGAAACTCAATGGATGAATACTCCACTAAAGTTTTGGAAAATAATAATTTTTATTCAGAAATTAGGCGAACGGTCAGAGGACTTGATGTTGTCAATAAATTCTCTGAGATAATAGTTAAGCTAGTTATAAACCTAATAAACACAGCATATTCTGAGGAGAAATAAACGCAGCATACTCTGAGGAGAAAAAAATAGATTACAAAAAAGTTTTTTTGTGAATAAGAATTTTTTAAAAGAGAATAGAAAGGATCATAAATTTACTGCAGTAAATTTATGATCCTCTCTCTAGAAGTCCCTGTTTTTTTCCTGGACTTCAGGAAAAAACAGGGACTCCTGGGCTCCGGTCTCCGACTTCGCAAGTTGTGCTTATATTCGAGAAATTTCTGCAAATGCGCGGACCATTACAAAATTCGTTTAGTTGATAATTTTACTACCAATGAAAATCAGGCTTTAAGGTAAAAAAGATATATATTCAAATAGGGTGTTAGTAATATGATATAAAGATGTTTATGATAAATATTTATTTCAAAAATCAGATATTTTTACGGTAATATACTTAAATTTTTCAAGTTTATTAAACTTCATTTAAAAAAAATATTTATAAATACCAATCACATAGACAAATAATTGAAATTAATATATATGTATATCAACTTATTTTACCCCCGTCTTAACTTTTTTTTTGTTTGTCATAAACTGCTGCCGTAAAACGGTGAGGGAAGTCTTTTTCGTTATGAAAGTCAAAGAGATGAAGGATTCGTACTTTCTATTAAAAGTACCATTTTACAAAAATGTTTATCTTTTGCTTCGTGAGTTATTCCGATAAATTTTTATTGAATTAATGATTTTGTATTGCTTTTGATGAATTATAATTGATTTCGAACAAAATAAAGGCGAGTTAAAATTTTCAAAATTAAATGTGTATGTTAAACAAGCTCTTTTTTTAAATAAATTTCTTTATAGTCAATGGGTTTAGAAGCAAAATTTGTTTTATTAAAAAGGCTTTGCTTATAAAATTTCTTGAAAATCTCATTTGACAGTAGTTTAATTGGTATAAATAGCAAATACCACACAAGAATGCGCATTAGCTATTTGAACGCATTTTTCTTTACAAATTTATTAAATTGCCTTTAAATATCGATCTGAATTATATAGTTGTCTTAAAACATAGGTCTGAAAATAAGGTTTCTTAAATTATAAATTTCTGAATTTTAATATTATTATAATGACAATGTTACATTGTTAAAAATTAGAAAGTTTTTAATTATTTGTTTCAATAACTTGAAAAATGATCATATGTAGAGATATAATATATGTATGTATAGAAGCCATCACAAGTAATCATATTTATGACATCAGTGATGTTTCATACCAACCTTAATCCTTGGTGTGTATATTTGTTTCAATAAATAAGGTAGTTGCTGCAAATAAAGTGTCACTGATGATGTCATATTAATATTTTCATATAGAGTTAGAACAGGCATTGTCTACTAAAAAACAGGTAATGTTGCAGAATAGCGTTAAATCATTTTATTTTTTTGTTTGTTGCGCTCTCATCAGAGGAAGCTTTTTAAACATTAGAAATATTAATTGAAATAAAATTTTATAAAAAATATTGCTGCCCCATGCCAAACCCTCAGTCAATGTAGCGGCACTTATTTGTAGCAGCAAGCTATAAGATAGTCGATGTAGCAATAGTCCCTTGTAGCAGCAGGCTATAAGATATTCAATGTATGTACTGAAGCCAATGAATATTCCACATGTTTATATTAAAAAGTCTCCACTTTTAAGTCAACAACACGAAATCGCAACAAACGAAAAAATAAAATGATTTAATGCCTCTATTCTGCAACATTACCAAATAATATTTATTATTGTGACATTTTTAATTTTATTCATTTTAACTAAAATGGCAATAAATTGCCAACCTCAAATTGTTAAAGATTAGCAAAAAAAATTTGACATAAAATATCTTATAAGTTTCAAATCAATATATATATATATATATATTTTTTATTTTACTTCACCTCCTCAAGGCCGAGAAGGCCACTACAAACAAGGTGGCTACTTATTTTGTGGCTATAACCCTCTCTCAACTCTATAACTCCGAAACACGAACCTTGACGAACAAGGCTGCTGCGCGGAGAAACGAGTTGAGCGCGGTACTACCAGGGACGTGGTGGGGATCGAACTCGGAACCACTCGTTTATGAAGCGAGCGCTCTATTACTACACCACTATCGCATCTAATCATTTAATGCAGATCTTTAGATACTCTATTTAAATAGTTTAATGCAGATCTTTAGATACTCTATTTAAATAGTTTTTGTTTTCTTTAAAATTTTAAAAAATTTTTGGGAAATGCTTTTCTTATACATTTGTGCCAAGTCAGTAAAAAAAAATATATATATAAATCTATTTTTTTTTTTTTTGGGGGGGGGGGGGGAGGATTTAGGGCCTTACATAATAAAGAAAATTGAAAAATGAATTAAAAATCTATTTTCCAATTTTTCTGAAAGTTCTTTTTTTTTTTACTTTCGTTTTGAATTAAAATTCTATTGTTCTGCAGGTTAATTACAATTGTAATTTGATTACTGCAAATCAGTATTAGAATAATAGATAATTTAATTTTATAATTTTGGTTGTTGATATATAAATTCAGAGGTGAGGATCAACCAAAACCTCATAGCTCTGACTCACCCTTTACACATTTGGATATATTACCTTTTTTTTTTTTTTTTTTTTTTAATTTTATTTACCTCCCCAAAGTTGTGTGCAACTACAGTTGAGGAAGCTGCTTAACATTTTGATTTTAATGTAGTTTGTATTCTGTAGTGTAATATTTTTTTTAATTTTGTAGGTCATTATAACTAATAGAAAAATAAAATGTCAGACTACAGGGAACGCAGAGATCGTTATAGTGACCCTCGTCCACCTCTTCCATCCAAAAGTATGATGGGTGCTCGAATATATATTGGTAAACTTCCAGGTGATATCAGGGAAAGAGATATAGATAAAGCTTTTAGTAAATTTGGACATGTGAGAGAAATAGCTATGAAAGGAAATTATTGCTTCCTAGTAAGTAATACACTGAAACATATTTTTAGCTTTCAATCTGTTTTAAGCTGAAAGTTTAAGAATTATTTATTTAAATGTTTTAAATTTAAAATTAATTAATTGATAATAAAAATAATAATAAAAAGATATATTTTAAAATGAGTTTTTGTTTTATTTTTAAGTAACTATAAAAAGTTTAAATCAGTTTTATATTTTTAAAATCCTTGTCTTTTTTATACATTTTGCATACATTTTATATACATTTTGTATGTTGTTTTTTAATAATTATATCATATTTTATTGTGCAAGGTGGCCAGCCAACTAGAAATCAGGGAAAAGTCAAGGAATTTTTTTCTTTTCCAAAAGTCAGGGGAAAAAAATCTCTTTTTCAAAATTTAATTTTTTAAAGGTTTTTTTTTACTTACTCCCAAACAACAAAACTAAAAAACTCACACTTTAAAATTGCTGTTTCACATCAAAATCGACTTTATAAGTTTAGTGTTAAAGCGCCTCATCTTTTCTAATGAAACTCAACATAATTTATATACAATCATATTCTCTTGGTATTTACAACTATGACGCAAAATACAGTCATATTCAGTCATATATACAATCATATTCTCTCGGCATTTACAACTATGACTTTATATTATATACAACTATTTACAATTAACGCAAATCGATCGTTATTCATAAAATATAATTACACTTCACACTTCCCCTTGGTCACAATGACCATCTCGTCTCAAGGACTAAAACGTTCAGGGGCCCTACTTTCTCATGTGCTTCTACGTAACACTGACGTCTTGCATATTTTTTCTCGAGGCAGCATAAAGTATAACTCATCTTCTGAATCCTCACTTATATCATTATCACCTCTTCCTTGTCCAAGATCTTCATTTGAATTGTTGTCAACTTTTACTTGTCTTGAATCTTGTACATGTCGACACATTTTGTCCACTTCTACCGTCTGCTCCGAGATTATCCCTGTAATTATACAATCTTATATTGGGAGTCGCATCGGCTGTCCGAGGGTTTAACCCATACTTCATCGCCAAGTTTAAATTTATTTGTTATCTTTTTACGAGGATCGTGTGCATTCATGCAGGGATTAATTTAACAGTTGGACATCGGACATTGTCCGGTTAAAACCTCAGATTGTCCGATCAATTTACAAAGTCATCGGACATTTTGTCCGGCAAGATTTTTAATTCTTTAAAATAAAATTTTATTCATTGATTTGAAATTGACAAATTTAAACTTAATGTAAACTATTAGACAAACTTATAAAATATGTTGATAATGGAATCATTCATTCCCAAAAAAAGCGCTGTTATTAATTGTAGTTTTAATGGCTGTTCTTAAACAGTTCTATTGTTATATTATTAAATATAACAATAGAATATATCTTGATATTTTCTATTGTTATATTATTAAATATAACAATAGAAAATATCACGATAAGAAGCCAACTCCCTCTGATTGCTTGCAGGGGGCATCTGAGCTTGAAAAGGATCTCACTTCTGCTACAGCATGGGGCTCACAGTGGCTGGTGAACTTTAATTCAGATAAAACTCAATTTTTTTCGGCCAATCGTTATCGCAATAGTTTAGACTTTCCTATATTTATGAACGGTAATGTACTCGATGAGTCTCCTACCCTTCATCTTCTAGGATTAACTCTTACTTCTGATCTTTCTTGGAAACCTTATATCAAATTCATTGCAAAATTAGCATCTGCTAAAGTTGCTTCTCTTTATTGAGCTCGTCACTTTCTTACTATGGATTCTATTTTCTATCTCTATAAATCTCAAATCCGGCCTCGTATGGAATACTGTTGCCATATCTGGGGCGGATCTTCTAATGATGCCCTTTCTCTTTTAGACAAGGTGCAAAAACGCATTGTAAACATAGTTGGACCTGCTCTTGCAGCCAACCTTCAACCTCTGTCACATCGTTGTAATGTTGCTTCTCTTTCTCTTTTCTACAAATACTATAACAGGCCTTGCGATGAATAAGAACTGCGCGACGCATAAGCACGACGTGATTTTTGACGTCATTAAATTCTTTTTATTTGCTTTTCATATTTATTGACATTAACTGCACCAATTTACTTAATTACCGCAAAACTACTTTAAATCGTTTATGTAGAAATGTTATTATTTAAAAATGTTTTGGAATGTTTCGTTTTTTAAAATGTAAAAATATTTATATATTTTCTCGACGTTTGTCACGTTTTGTCCATACTAAACAAATAAAAAACATTATAACTTAAATTTAAAAAAGATTATAAAATATGCTAATATTTGATTTTTTTTTTCTTAAATATAAATATTCTTAAAAATTTATTAAAATTTCTTAAAATTTTATTAAAAAATTCTTAAATATATAAATATTCTTAAAAATTTAAAGTTTTTCAAATAATTATTTTTTCTTTTTAAAAAGTCAGCGAGTAATAAACTGGAAATTTTAATATTGTACGATTAAAAACTGTGCAATAGCTAATATTTTTACAAGCGATTTTATATAATATTTATTTATTTATTTCTATTTATTTTCAAAAAGCGGTTGATAAGCACAATCACTCGTATTAATAAAAAACTTAAACGAACGTTTTGAATAATTTTTAATGTTAACAAGGAATTTTATTTCTAGTAAAATAAAATAAAATGTAAGAATAAAAATCTTATAGGTATAAAGAAATATTTCAGCAAAAAAATTATTCGAAAAACTATTGACGTTCTTTTTTTCAGCAGCTCTTCTTGAACACGCTTCCTTGAGTTTCGGTAACTTTTAACATAAAAGCGATCGTTATTATTTAAGTAATTTTTTTGAGTTACTTTTTACAAAAATTTTAATAACTGTACTTTTTTATTGAATCAAGTAGAATACGTTTTAATATTAATCCTTTTTTATTTTTTTATTTGCCCTCACCAATTTTCAAAATGTTTCCTCGAAATTACTCTTAAATACTTTAAATACGTCTAACAGTTAATAAATATTTTTAAATCTATGGAATAATTTTAAAACCTAACAAACCCCCGTAAAATAATTATTTAAGTTTAAAATCTAAAACTAAAAGAAAGTATTTTTGTTCAATTTTATCGACAACTTTGCTATTGCTGAATAATTTTAATTAAATGTTAGCTTAAAAGATTTAAACTTTTTTTTTAATTTTTGAATTTTTTCTACTTGTAAATAATGAGCATATTTAATTTTTTTAAATTCAAACTTTTATTTCAACTGCGTGCGGTTTTTAAAATACTTTATTAAATGTTAAAATAATTGTAAATTACTTCATTAAAATTCCGCTCAAAAATATCTTTAAATATACTCAAACAAAAAATTTTTTGCTTGACGCAAATAGCCCTAGCTACACGCAAAATCGCTCTTGGACGACGTGAAATTCACATCGCTCGACGCTTTATCGCAAGGCCTGCTATAATGGGCACTGCTCTAAAGAGCTAGTGTCTCTTGTGCCATCTACTAAAATTTGTTCTTGTGTTACTCGTCATTCAATTAAGTCTCATCCATTTTCTGTTACTGTTCCTAAGTGCTCCAAAAACTCTTATTCGTCTAGTTTTTTTCCTTGAACATCAGTTCTTTGGAATTCGCTTCCTTCATTTTGCTTTCCTGATTCATATAATTTGCAATCTTTTAAGTCGTCTGTCAATCGTTATCTTGCTCTACAATCTTCATCTTTTTTCTTCCAGTAACTTCCAACACTAATTAGTGGTTGTTTGCAGCTTTGCTGGAAGCGAAGATAATTAAAAAAAAAAATTAAATTATTGCTTATTTAAAACGATCGCAAAAGTCAAAGTATGTTTGATTGATTACTGCAAACGCTGTGGACACCGAAAAGCAAAGAAAAGCTAGCAGTTTGAAAAATTTGATAATAAAAGATTTTACTAATGTGTTTTTTTAGAGGCTGAGATCTCATCGATAGAATATTTTTAAAAAAACATTAAGAAAATTTACATTTAAATATTAACGTTATAATCATCCAAATCATTTTATTTTAACTTGAGCGGTTTCTCGTGGCATCCTGGTCCTACTCATATATATATATATATATATATATATATATATATATATATATATATATATATATATATATATATATATATATATATATATATATATATATATAAATAAAAGATTAAAAAGTTCTAGCTTTATAAAACTTGTCTGCCAAAGAAGGAGTGCCTTTTTGAAAAGTAGATAAATAATAACTTGAAAAGTAGATAATAATTTTTTAATTTATTAATTAAAACAATTTCATTTATTTGCTTCATTTTATTTTAAACGCATTTTATGTTATTAAACTGTATAAAACAGCAACAAAACAGCGTCATGAAATTGTTTTACATTAACACAAGCTATTTATATTTTAAAGACAACTTTTTGTTTTATTGTTGTTTTATAGCTTTTTATGATAACAATTAAATACTCATTAAAAACATGTGTTTTATTGTCAGCTGGATCGTATTAAACAGTTTTCTATGACTAATTAAAGTGATTTAAATATTGCAGTGACAGATCCAGGAAATTTTGGTGGAGGATGTTGAAATATTTTTGAATTTTGTATCATGTTTGCGTCTCCTAAAAAAAAGCAAAAAACAAGGTTCTCAATTTCTATGATATTTTCAAGACTTTCAGGTTCTGGTGGGGGAGGGGGGATGCATGCACCCATCCTCCCCCTGGATCTGTCACTGAAATATAAAAAATGTTTGCTTTTTACACTTATTTTTTTACTTTTACTTTTTTAAGTATCATGTTAAGTAAACACAATTAATTAATAGTAATAAATACGTTAATTGCTCATTACACTGTAACTGCAACTTAAACTTTAAATAATGAATTAAGCTGTAAATTATAACAGTAACTTATGCTATTTTAAACTCCGCCAAACAAGAAAATCATAAGATAACATTTAAATATGAGAGGTAGTATGTTAAAAGATAACAATTACGTGCTAAAGAGACAATTTTATACTAACGCAACCCCCTTTCCCCATTACATCACATCGGCGCGAGCTTTAAAAGAGAGGGGGGTAGCAAAAAAATAGAGTTGTTCAATAGAGTTGTTCGTTTTGTATATAATTTACATTTAGTTATGGTTTAACTCTTTCATTACCGCAAGCCACTGGTAGTATGCTTTACAATTTATCTTGTTTTGTTCATAAATTTCCATTCTAGATACATAGAATTTGTTTGTTTTGAAGGTTTAAATAAATCTCTATATAATCAAGAAAAAATAAGAGCTATATCGTGTAATTATAAAAAAGTTATCACAAAGTTAAAAAATCTTGAATAATCATAAAAAAACTTCATAAAAAACTTTAAATTTAATTAAAAAATAAAACAGCCTTAACACTGTAACACTTAACTTGTAGAAGTGTTAAGTATTTAGTTAAGTAATTACCAAAGTATTTTGGAGAAAAAATATTATTTTTATTCATTAAATGAGGTTTGATTTGGACTTGATGTTTTATTTACTACTTACAAAAATAATAGTTTTAAGCACTTTGCATTTATTATTGTTTAATGATGCATATTAAAAACTTTATTATTATTGAATTTTAATTAATTGTCAATGTTATGCTACTCAAATGTTATTCAAATAAATGTGCTGTTGCTACAAAAAGATTTTTGTTTGGCTGGTAGCGAACAATTTAATGTGATTCTTTGTTTTTATATTTATATTTTATACACTTTCTTGTTTTATGTTATATTCAAGTCACTCATTTTTTTTTTTTTTTTTTTTTTTTAGTTTATACTTTAAATTGATTTATACGCTTAAAAAGTTATACAATTAACAGATTTGTTGATTTTGGCAAAAAAAAATAATACGACATCTTAAAAGAAAAAATTTATACGCTGACGTCATATACCGAAACTGTTTGAATTAAACACGTACGGAATAAATTATCAAGTCTGCAGATTGCAGCTAACATTATACAGACTAAAAAAAAATGGAGACGATGAGAACCAAAAAAAAATGGAGACGACGAGCTTCGACTAAAACATGAATTTTAAATCTAATGGTGTGCATTCATTATATAGTTTTAATCAAAAAATTTAGCCAAAATGTTTTTTTTAAACATTTTCTTTAATATGAACACAACTTGTCTTGGCAGTTAAGGATCCCTTTAAATTCACTTAAATAAAATTCTGTAGTTATAAAAAAAATAAGTAAACATTAATAAAGTTTATACTATAAATATAGGTATAAAACGTATGCATGGCTAACAAAAATGACATTTTTTTTTTTTTTTTTTTGTAGTGTTGATTTGCTTTTAACAAGAAAAGAAAAAAGTGAAATTTTATAAAAAATTTTAAAATAATAAAAACAATTTATGGAAACACAAATTAAAAAAGTTTATTTAAAAAAAAAAACTTTAAAAATATTTAGTTTTTATTTTTTGTTAAAAAGGAATAGTTTTTAAGCCATAAAATTTAAACTAGTAATCTTTATATAAAATGATTAATATTTTCGAAATTTTTATAAAATTTCACTTCTTTTGAGTCCCAACATGATATACTTTTGAAGAACTTTTTTTTTTTTTTTAAATATTAGGGAACCCATTAGATGTTTAAGGGTCTTGAGTGACCCCTAAATTTTTTATTTATTAAATTTTTTTTGTTTAATTTAGTGTTAATTAATTACATAGAACACATTTAGGGGGTGGCTGCAGACAATTGCAAAAATGCAAAAATAGTTGTTTTTAAAGGCACTCTAATGTGTGTGTGTGTGTGTGTGTGTATATATATATATATATATATATATATATATATATATATATATATATATATATATATATATATATATATATATATATACACATACATATTTAACTCAAAAAAAGTTTTAGAAAAATTTGTCTTAAAATGATTAAGTAAAATATTTAAAAAAATAAAATTATGCAAATTTATTAATTGACATTCTTCTCAAATCTCTTGACGATTAAAAACACAAAATAAGTTTGATTTTGGCAAAACAGTTTTTATATTATTGTGTAGTCCAGAAGCTTTAAAAATCTTAGGAATTTCGGACTTAAAAAAGTAGAAAACACTGAAAAACACTTTAACTGTATGGTTGCATCATAATGCATGGTTCATAAGTATCTTCAAAAAATTACTTCAGCTTCAATAAAAACCTTTCGTAACATCCCTAGTGCAAATATTAATTTATTTATGCTTGTTTTTAAATATTTAAAACAAGTTCATAAAATGGGATTATTTTAACCGGCAAACATTGCATTTTGCCTGACTAAAATATCGGGGTTTTGGCTTGTGTCACAAAGTCATTATTTTTTGATTAATGTGTCTGATGACTTTGCAATTTGATCACACGACCTTAGACTATAATCTGACAACTGGTGTGTTGCTGTTAAAATGTGTCCTATACAAAAGTTTTATTTCACTCTCAGTAGTTCATTCTAAATTTCTGAAGGACCATGACATAAACATGTCATAAGTGTAACAGTTATTGTCATACAACTGATATCATCAATAAAATTTTTATGTTAGAGTTATGAATTTTTATGTGAGAGAATTGACAAAAATAGTCCAATAAACTGTAAAGTTTTAATAAACTTGTTTTCTTTAAGCAATACGAAAAAACAAGAGAAGCTGAAGATGCAGTTTATGAAATGCATGATAGATCTTTTTTTGGTGAAAGGTAATAAATTTATTTTTATTTGTGTTTAAATTCTTTAAATGTGAATTTTACTTTTCAGAAGAAAATTTTTTTTTTTTTTTTTTGCCTTATTTCTGCCTTATCTAAAATATCTAGATAGTACCTGTTCAAGTTTTGTACAGAACAGAAGCACCCCTCCTACTATATTCTACATTCCTTCAAAACTAAATTTAATTTTTTTAAATCACCTTTTATTCAAAGTCTTTTAATTAAAAATATATAAAATTATCACTTTCTTTAACAAAAAGTATCACAGTTGCGGTTAAATGCTTTTTTTTTTTTTTACAACCTAATATTTCCTGAATTAACATCACTTAATATTAAAAGATAATTTAAATATTCTAAAATAAAAAAGTTTTTGCTCAACCTAAAATATCCATTTTGTACTTAAAATTTGAGTTGCATAACAAGGTTTGAGTACCAATGTTATTTTTCTATTTTAAGAATGTGCAACTTCAAACTATTAAATTATAATGTTGATTATATTAAAGATTGTTAAAAAATTCAACTAAGTTCAAAAAAAGGTCAACTCCTTTAACTAAACAAGTAATAGGAAAAGCATAAGGAAAGAGAAGAAAAGAGGAAATAATCTGTTTGCAAAAAATCAGAAAAAAACAATTCTCAAATAATAGTTTTTTATTTGATTTTGTAGTTGTGATAAATATTTCATCATATTTTTTGGTTTATGGTAATATTTAACACTGCAGCCTAAATGCTTGGACCAAACATGTAGAGCCACATTTATAATTAGTTACCTATAAAAATTATCCTTAGAAGGTGTTTTACATAACATCACAATTCAGCTAATATATTCAGTAGTTTACTCGCAATCACTTTTCTTTTTTTAAAAAAATACTAATTTTACTTGGTCAGTATCAGGTTAACACAAAAATTTCAACACCAAGACCAGGCCTTGTTTTAAAGCGTTACGTCTAGAGAGTTTTACGTACGCCTTAAGCGCTTTTTACGTACGTGTAGAGCTGTTTTGGTTAAGCTACTTTTTATCATTTTTTAACTTTTAAATTAGCGGTAACATAAAAGAAGTAATTAATTTTCAAAAAAACCACATTAACTTTTAAATAACAATATGTAAAGATATTTATTTAAAAAAAAATTTACTTTAAAAATAATTGTTGTAACTTTTCATTGCGATATATCTTTCCCTTTTTATAGCAATTAATTTGACGCTAAACTTTTTATTCAAATATTTAGCAACATGAAAAATTGTTTGTCAATCCTTAACTACAAATTTTTTGCAATGTTTTTAATAAAAAGTAGTAATTTTTTAAAGTTTTTAGTAAAAAACTTTTAAAAAATCTATATTCCATATTAATACAGAATATAAAAGTTTTTTGTAATATAGATTTTTTATGAATTTTTTACTGAATTTATAATAAAAAACATTTGCAAAAAAATTTGTAATTAAGAATTGACATTTTTTTTATTAAATCTCAAAAAATGTCATAATATTTTTGTTATCAGGATAACAAAAATATCAAGACATTTTTTCGAGATGTTAAAAAAAAATGTCTTTGCTTTTCTTATTAGTTAATGGTATATAGTTTAAGTTATGCGGAGGGAGGGGGTCGGCACAGAATAAAAAATTACCTGTTACTCGCAATATTTGAATGAAGACAATTTGTTAAAATTCTTCTGCGTGCGATTCAATAAGTTTTTTTTTCATAAATCAAGTTATATTACAAGATAAAGAAATAATGAGTAGACTACAACATCCGCTGATGACACTAATATTACGTTGAATATATTTATATAACGGAGGTTTTATTATGCACGCGCACATTACAGGTTCCGTTAAATAAATACTAAGGCACGTTTTAGTTTAATGACAGTCTCCATTTTTTACTAATGAATATGTATTTTTCTTTATAAAACAAAACAAACTAGTATATAAAAACCTTGTATATTTCTATTATCTCTAAATTGTTGAAAGTTCGAATATGGATTGCATTTTGAAGGACAAAAGATTTACTTTAAAAACTTTTAAATCTTGGGACTTAGCCTATGCGATGATCACAGAAAAAGAGAAGACTTACGTTATTAAAATCAAATGTAAGTTATGTGATCTTCATCAAAATAAAATAATATCCAAAAGCAATAGTGCCATAAGGGCAACTGCCCAACAGTTTATAAATGATACAAGTCATGTTAAAATATTTTAACATGTTACTATATTTTAATTAAGTTGATATATAATTAAAAATAAAAATATAGTTCAATAAATAAATTAAATTTATTCTTAACAAAGATTACCTCATATTTATTCTTTTTTTTTTTATTATTAAATTAAATTGCTTACAAACGAAAAAAAAAAAAAAGAGTTTTGTAATTATACGTAGAATGAAAATACTTTTGAGTTTGTTTATAAGTTAAGGAACTTAATTTTTAATAAACAAATTTTTACAAAAAATTATTATAAACAGATACGATTCAAATTATTAAATATACTTAAATTATTTCAGTTGAGTATTTTTTTAAGTTTGCACGATTAAAGTTTGGCGTAATAGTATTTGTTTTTTTGTTTTAAGAATAATTAACAAAAGAGTTTGCATAATTAAGTCTTTTATATTTAATTTAATTTTTTTTTTTTAATTTCCTAAAATTAAAAAAAAAAAGATTTAATCGTTGAAAACGATTTTTCTCTATAGCTCTGTTTCTTTGTGATTTGTTTAAAAAGTTAAATATTTTTACAATAACATAAAAAATTTATGAATTAAATTCCTAGCGAACGCGTTCTAAACTACGTATCAAAAATATGCTCAAAGCAGACTAAACTTTTTTATATTTTTATAAAACGCAAGTTGAAACGCTTTTAAAAATTTTTAAAATATTTAAAAACTTAAATTTTTCTTTGCTAGTCAAAACAAAATCGTTGTTTAAATAATTAACATGGGTTTGTGTTTTTCAATGTTAATATTTTTTGTTTACTCTAGAAATTTTAAAAAATAAAAAAAATCATTATTATTTTTTATTCAATAACGATTAAAAACAATTATTCAAAAACAAATTTCAGAAATAATATATATATATATATATATATATATATATATATATATATATATATATATATATATATAAACACTTAACGTCTATAAAAAAAAATAAAAATAATTTTATGACGTCAAAATCGCGTTAAGCTAATGCATTAAGCACTTTTATATTTAAAACAAGTCTTGAAGACTTGTAATAACATAAAAACAAGGTCGGCAAAAAATTGCTGACCTCAGGAACTTTTAGGTCATTGTGGTTGAATGCCCACCTTAATTCCAAAACCTGCTTGAGTCATGACAGGGGGAGGGTTTTTAATAGTATTCTTTTCCAAGCTTTTGCTTCACAAGGCATATACTTCTAACTTAGTTTATAATTTTACTTCATGTGTTTGTATTATGTTATAGGATACAAGTAGAACATGCACGACAACCAAAAGAGTTCGGTTTCAGAGCCCCATCAAGATTTGGTGGAAGTCGCGGTTATGGCGGTTACAGCAGAAGTAGTACATATAGGTATTTTTTTTTTACATATTCTATTGATTGATCTAAGAAAAATGGTTTAAGCTAAACAAGTTTTTGACTGTTTTATAAATTCTCTTTCTTTGCTTAAAATTGTTAAAAAGTATAACACTATATAGCAGCAATAAAATGCACCAATAACTTATAGTTTTCTCTGTTTAGCCAGCATTTTTGCACTCGCCCATACGCCCGGAAAAACTTTAATAGGCATAAATAGGCGCTTGCCAAAAAAGTATATACTAAAAGCATTTTATTTTAAACTGCAACAAAACTTTTTTGTTCATTTGTGCAACTTTTATGAAAAATGGCTCTCTTTTTTTTACCAATTTTTTTAAAAATTATTTTATCTAGTATTTATTCAAAGCAATCTTTTCGCTATTTTTATTTTAATTTAAACAGCAGAACAGGACGACTAATTTCTTCGAATGGCGACTTAACTTTTGTAATTGCCTGTTGGTGGCGTGGCGGGACAAGGCAGTTTGTTACTTACAAAAGAGTGTTTAATAATAAAAATTTTGAACTAAGAAAATTTTTATTTCTTGTGATTATTTAAAAGAAAGAAAAAAAAAGTATTTAGAGTACACAGCGTTTAAAAATGTTCATAAATTATACACAATATTAAAAATTAATACAGAAAAAAAAAGCCAACTTGAACTAAATTAGGCATGCACATATTTTTAAATGTTTCAAAGTGAGACTTAAAAATGTTTCAAAAATGGTTTTTAAAAAGTTGTTGCAATTTAAAGCATGTTTTCTTTTCAATTCAAAATGCGAATTTAAATGTTACAGTTGCATTTAACATCAGGAATCATTAATAATGTTGAACATGTTTGTTTTCATTAGTAAAATGAATTTTTATATAAACCTTGTCAAACAAAATTGATGCAGTAAAAAACGTTATTATGGATATATTGTGGAATTTTTTTTTGATGATGTGGAAATTTTTTTTGTAAATAAAGAATCCCTAATAAATTAAATTACATTAAAAACTTAATTTTTTAAACAATACACTATTAGAGTATGCATTGAAAATAAGCGTTTTGTATTAAGGCTCTGCATTAAAACTAATTTGACAGGTATATATCAGATATTGCTGAAAACATCAGTCCAATTTTAACTGGCAGCGCGTTAAGATGTTTTTACCCAAAATTTTTAATTTAGCTGCGTTCATGCCTACAAAAACGTTTTTGAGGAAAATTCTTTTACATTACTTCCACCAAAAGACAACAGCAGCTGAGGCACATAAAATATTAGTGGAAACATATGGTGACAATGTTCTTTCAGAACAAACATGCAGAAGATGGTTTTAACTATTTAAAGGTGATGATTTTGACCTCGAAGATGAAGAAAACTTGGTGCTGAGAAAAAGTTTGAAGATACCAAGTTGGAGACATTACTTGATGAAGATCTATGCCATACACAGGAAGAGCATACAGAAACACTGGGATTCGATCAATCAACAGTTTCTAGGTGCTTGAAACAACTAGGAAAGATTTAAAAGCAAGAAATTTTGGTGCTGTTTGAGTTAAAACCAAGGGACATCAAAAGACAACTTTGTACGCGTTACAGCAACCTTAAGCACAGAAAAGCATAGATCAAGCCTGGCCAGCCATCAACAGCAAAACCGAATATTCATGGTTCCAAGCTAATTTTCTGTATGGACAAGCTTGGAATAATATATTATAAGCTGCTTGAACCAAATGAAACGATTACAGCAGACCATTACCTATGATAATTGCAGTCTTGGAAAGGAATGGCGTTCAATAGCACTCTGTAACTGACCACGCTAATATATATTTTTTCTTTACAACTTCACAATGTCTATTTTAATGTTTAACAATTTAAAATGCAGTTTAAAAAAGTGTTACGTTATGAACAACTTTTAGTTGTTGATCTTTTCTAAAGTTTTTATTTTATGATAAGGCTTTAAAATGACACCATGAAATTAATTATAATGATTGTTTTTATAAACACTTGTGTAAGTTAATAAAAAATTTTATATATAAATTTTTTTTATGTGGGCATGTATTTTTTATGATAAATTTAAATGTTTGAAACTATTTTTCCATGTCTTCCTAAAAATCTTTTAAACCATTATTTTTAGAAAGAATTTTTTTTAAGTTATTTTAATTTATGAATAAGTTCAAAACCTTTTGAGACTACTAGCTTTTACACATTTTATGTGAATTACACAAGAATATAAAATAACTTTATTTACTTATATAAACATGTATTTTGTTGATAAATGGAAAAGTTATAAAGCATTTTGTAATGTTTGTACAATTTATACAAAACATTAACTCTATAACATGTTTGTTCATACAAACATTTTATTTTTTGAAAAAATAATTTTTTTTTTTTTTTTTTTTTTAATTATAGGAATGAAAGAATTTAAATCTTATATAATAATTTTTAAATTCCTTACATGAAGCGCTTATTATTAAAGTTGTAATGAATTAATTAGATTGTTTGTTGGCAGTTTATTTTATTTAAATCACAGACATATTTTATTTATTTTTTCCTACTTTTACGAATAAAAAAGTTAAAAACATTTTTTTTAACTAGACATTAATTAGAGCATGAAATTATTAAAAATTACTATTTTAAAAAAACTACATTTTTTTAAACATTTTTTTTTTTTTTTTTTTTTTTTTTTTTTTTTTATATATATATATATAATTTAATACAATTTATAATATAATAAAATAAGCTACATTACATAATGTACTCTTTAAACAATAAAATAAAAATCGTACTTGGTTACTATAACATGGCGGCAAAGTTGTATTTTAAGGAAATCAAAACAAAAACAAGGTCACTGTAGCGCAGTGTTACCATTTTTAGTTTTAAAATATTAGAAACCTCAACTTGTTGGTTTGTAATATTAAGAATTAACAAAAGTATGTGTCTACATTATCTTTTCTTATTCTAAAACAGCTTTAATTTGATGGCAGAAGTAAAGTTATTGTGAATTTGAGACAATTATAGGATATGCAAATACTCTTTGTATCTAGGAATGAAAACAGTACTGTAAGTTAAATAAAACTCTGTGATGATGCTATGACAATAACCTGTTTTATGTATGTTTATAAGTTAACTCCATGCCTTTTTATGTAAAAAGATTTTTTTGGAAATTTTTCTTGTGTTCTTTAAAATAAACTGATACTGGAATTTAAAAGTTATTCGTTCTAATCTCTTCCTTATGTACCTTAGGAAAACACGTAAGATTAACTTAGTTGTTGCAAATAGTCAGTAACTAGTATGATGTCATTGTAAGTTCTACCAAAAGCCCAATCAGATAATTGGATAAGTATCTACCAGAAATAAATAAAGTTTTTAAGACATTTCTCATAAGCATAATTCTCTTGTACTTCAACTACTGCTAATCGTTTTGCCTGTGATGTGGACATGCTTGTAATAAATTGCTACTGTTAAGCTGAATGATAAGGTAGCTTTGTGAAAATTCGTTGCTTTTTATTTTATCCACTGCAAGAGTGGCTTGCTCTTCTGTGTTTAAAGCATACTTTACAGTAATTAGGTTTATCAGTTAAACCATAGTTAAACAAGTTAACAATCAGCCTATTTCATTCCACCCCATTACTCACTGTTTCTGTTTTTAATCTTATTCAGAAGAAGGTTCTCTAAAATATGATCAATAATTGATTAAAAGCAGAATAAAAATTTAAAAAACTAATTTCATTATGCCCTTAATTTTATTCTATGCTGTTTACACTTTATTGATGTTAACAATTGTTTTATGTAAAATTTAATGTTGTTATTTTAAAAAGATCGAAATTAGGTTATGATGGTTTTAGGCGAAAATTAAAAAAAATATTTCCATTTGTTTTGTTTTGCCATTTAAAAGGACTGAATTTAAAAGAATTAAAAAAAAAAAATCTAGAGTATTTTAATATGTATAATAATGTTATATAATTATCAATTTTTAGTAGCAGTCGTGATTATTCAAGGCGACGATCTCCTCCACAAAGAAGCGATTACAGGCTTTCAGTAACTAATCTTTCCACAAGATGTGATGCTCAGGTATACTTTTTATTAGATTATATAGAGATTTCAATTAGGTGTATTAGAAAAGTTTTAAAACTATTTGGGTTTATGACGCTAAAATAGTTGTTTCTAGTGAAGTACTCTGAAAAGGAATCTGGAATCAAAAATTCTTCCCCCCGAGAACAGTAAAAAGGCGTGATTAAAAATTTTAAAAATTCACGTCTTTAGTTCTTGAGCTTTTAAATAAAAATCGTTTCGTGTCTTTATTTACAGATCGAATTTAAAATTTACGATTAATGCGTTTGTCGGTATTTCGGTATATTTACGAAAAGATGTTCACGACCTAATTACCACTATCGATTCCATAGCTGTTTGAATTTCGAAAAGGCGATCTAAAAATTTGAAATCGATGAAAGAAAGCGTACAAAGATATTACGCTAGATTCCGAACATAGATTGTTTCCCTAATCGCGATTTAAAATGCAATCTTTTGATCAAGTAGCTTTTAATGGAGGTATCCCAGAAGCACTTGATGTTATGGAAGTTTAGTTTGTGGCAAGGTGAGTGCGTCCGGTGTTATGAGTGTATTCACACCACGGCGGTAAAATCTAGGCAATATATTAGTTAAATTCAAATAATTATGATTATTTTTTTTATTATATGTAGGATCTCAAAGCTGTGATGCAAAAAGCAGGCGATGTTGTATTTTCAGACGCACATAGGCGCAGGGTCGGAGAGGGGTAAGTCAACTCTCTTGATCATATTTAAATTGCATACTTGATTGCATTAATTACAGTTACATAATTTTTCTAAAACTTGGGAATCGACATAATAATTACGCATTTAACTTTAAATTAATTATTTCATTTTGCTAGAAAGTTCACACAAAAATTTTCCATTGTTTTAGTGTTGTTGAGTTTGCATCAAGAAAAGATATGGAGCGAGCTTTAAAGAAACTTGATGGTTTGGAAATTAACGGAAAGCCTATTAAACTAAAAGTGGTGCGATATTAATTGTGTCATTTGATATTCGTATAGAAATAGTGATAAAACATCTTTACTGTCTATTACTTATTTAATCGTTATGCTTGATCTATTGATTTATAGGAAGAGGCACGCAATGCTCATAAGTCACGATCTCGATCCCGATCTGAATCCGGATCAAGATCAAGATCAAAGTCAGAATCTGGATCTCCCAGCAGGTAGTTAAGGTTTTTTTGTAATATTAAATATTTCTCTAAATTAAAAAAATATCAATATAGATCTCCTGATAATATTGTGTCCTTGTTACGCGCTTAAAGAAGTTTATTTTTCTAAACTTTTTCTTATCTAGAAAACGACGGCGTCATTCATCGAGATCCGGTTCAGACGATGCCTCAGATCGTGAAGAAAACGAGCGTACAAGTGCCAAAGTTGATGAGAAAGCTGCTAGCGATGATGAAGAATTCGAAGAAGCAGAACGGAATGTTAAAAGGAAAAAAGAGCAACGGAAAGAAGCTAATGGTGATAAAGGATCAGGTTCGGAGTCTGATGGTCCAGAAGAGTTAAGTAAAGATGAAGCTGAAAATGATGACGATGAAGACACTGAAATAGTTGAAGAAATTGTTGAGGAAGAGATTGAAGTCGAAGAAGAAGTAACTCAATCCAATGACGAAGAAGACGAAACTGAAGTAGAATCAAAAAAACACGAGGAACCTAAAGAAGATAATTTAGATGAACTTACTGAACCTGTACAAAGAAACCGCGAAAGCGGGAGCGAATCACCCGAATGCGAAGAAAATAACGAATAAGTTTTCGACTTGTTAAGCTTTAGCTGAAGGTTTATAATGTTGTATATAATATTTTAAGCTTGCTATGTCACGTTCAAGGTTTTACTTTGTTAGAGGACGAAATACAAAAGGTTTTTCTATTTTTAATTTTGTTTTATGTAAATTATAAAAGATGTGTTTATTCTTGATTAAGTATTTTTTGACAAAGTTTGATGAAAATCTTAATTTAACTAAACTTTAAAACTCAAATAAAATCTGAGATTTTATTGGATACTTTCAATAAAATTAAATACATTTTTTGTGTAGCCATTAAATGATTTAACAAAATATAAATTGAAAAAACTGGTAACACAGGTGATTATTCTATAGTCATCTCTATGCGCGTCCCCTTTTTTTGCGTGTGTGTAAAAAATGTTTTTCGCGATTTTTTCATAACTTTAAAATACATTTTTCTAATGAAGAAAAGTTGACATAATCGTAAAAATGATAAAAATTGAGTTAAAGTAATCTGTACTTTTTTTTTTCTGGTTTAGTTTAAAAGAAGATTTCAGTTATTTAAAACGTAAAAATAGGAGAGAGTTTTTAAAAGATTGAAGTGCAGAGCAAAAACTAGACCAATAAAAGCTTTTAGAGAATGCAGGAACAGATACAGTAAAAGAAGACAGCTTTGCTGAATGACGAGTCACGTGGGAATGAGTTTTGGTTGATGGGGCTACAGATAAAAGAAGACTGATTAGACGATAGTTGGAAGGATCAATATATTTTCCAGTTATTAAAAATAATAACTAAAAGTCATTATCCAGCAGGCAGAAAAATAAAATTCAGTCAAGCACTACAAATAATTTAAAGTTTCGACGACACTTGTATGACGGCTTTTAAAGTTATTTCGTGAAAGTTTTCGTGTGATATGACAAGATCACGAGTTTCTAAAAAGTTTAACAGTAACTAAATAATAACTTACTTGCGACAGATTAGGCTAAAAATATGTTAATTCAACAGTTATCTAATTTCTGCAAATGGTTTATTTTAATCAATTTTTTAAATGTTGAATAAAGTTTACAAAATTAGACAATTACAATTCAAATTAACATTAAAAACACAGTCTTTAGCCCCGATTGTTTATTTTGGCATGCAACCACTATTTCATTATTGTTCTACCACCATTCTAAATATTTTCTGTGGTGTTCCTCGAATTTTTTCATACGTTTACATATTTTAAATTCGGATTTAAACTTTTTTTTTTTGTTTTTAACAAATCGAACAATACTATAAGATTTTCATACGTTTACATAATTTTTTAAAATCTGCTTTTAACTTACCATTTTCTTATTCTAACAATTTGCACTTTATGTTAGTTAAAATAATGTTCTTCAATGCTCTAAGATAATTTTTACTGAATGTTTTTGATATCTGTTGATAGTTAATTTGATACACACGCTTAATGGATCGTATTAATATTTTTTACATAGGCATTTACTTGCAATACTTTTTATCGTTGTCTAAAAAATTTTGATATGTAGCTATCAACCGGCTATAGATTTGTAGATATTTTGTACCTAGCTACAAGGCTACGATATGTAGCCAGCGACACATTGCTACAAAATCGCAATTTTTAAAGTTCAATTATTTTCATAATTATAATAGACTCAACACTAAAAATCGAATTTTTAAAGATGTTAAAATAAAATAAGAAAAAAAAATCGCTATAAAGTTACCTAGTCGCTAGCTCATTTCCCACCGGGTATCACCTACGATCTGCTAATAACTATAATCTTTATGTACCAAATCATTCTTCTGGAAAATATGGTCTAAAATCCATATAATACCAAAGTGTAAAATCAAGGAACAGTCTACCTTCACCATTAAAATCAATTGACTCAATTACTAATTTCAATACCTGTCTTTTTAACTATTTTTTAGCAAGATATTGTACCTGAAGCCTCTGAAATATGTTGCTATGCTGTTATTATTACTACTCTTTTAATACCTACTAATTTTATTAGTAACTTTTTGTTCTCATATTTTTATTGTTATTATTAGTTTTGATATTAATAATATTCTTCTATCTTTATTAGTTTTTTATTTATAACTTATTATTATTTTATTTATAACTTAAAAAGTATTATTATTGTTTTTATTTAATTTTTTCTAAACTTTATTTACTACTTATACTATATGGTTGTTATTATTACTATTATTGCTATTATCTAATATTAATTATCTAATATTTTTATTGTTATTGTTAGCATTGTTACTAATAATATTTCTCTTCATCGTCATCTTATTATTATTGTTAATATTATTTCTATAATTATTAGCATTACTGTTATTATTGGTATTATTATTATGATCACTTTTATTGTAATGTTGCAGGTTTTTATGTTAGATTAGTACTTGTACTATTAGTAAAAGTCTTTGAAATTTTACAACTTATTTTAGAATATAATAATAATAATAATTAATGCTGTTGAGATAAAGCGCCAGGCAATATCTATGACAGCCGGTATAAATTAATTAATGAACTTAGTAAAAAGTTAGTTCAGTCACTAAATAATAAAAAGGTTAATAATAAGCTTTCTTGGTTTTTATCTTGTTTGTTATTGCTTCCAAGTCGATCGATTGCAAGTTTAATTTGAAATTTTTAACTGTAGTAGATTGAACAACTTTGGCTGGTAGACTATTCCATCAATCAACAACTCTATTGCTGAAAAAATATTGCCTTTTCAAACAATTTCTGACCAATTCAGGTTTCATTCGATGTTTTGCTCCTCTAATGTTAGCTGCAGAACCTGATGAGCAAATAGAGTTCATTGTTTGATTTTGTTCAATATCAATGATTTCAATACCTTTAAATATTTTGAATTGCTGGATCAAGTTGCACCTTAGCCTTCTTGTCTCCAAAGTAGTCAAACCCAAAATTTCCAATCTTTTTTCGTACTCAAGATGTCTTAACTCCTGTATCATTTTGGTAGCTCTTCGTTGGACTTTTTCTAGTTCATTAATATCTTTTGTATAATACGGACTCCATGCTTGAATTGAAAACTCTAAATTTGGTCTAACATATGTACAATACAGTATTTTTATTAGATCTTTATCTTTGTACTTGAATGTATTATTTAGTAGTGAGAGCATACTATTTGCTTTACTAGCTGCATATTTTACTTGTTTGGCCCATTTTAAATCACTTGATATATAAACACCAATGTCTTTTTCTAGTTTTGACTTTTCAATTTCCATTAATGTATTGTCATTGTTCATAAAATATGAATATTCGTTATTATTTGAACCAAATAATTTTACATTTTTCAAAATTTAATCCTAATTTCCATTTTGTTGACCATTCGTCAAGTTTATTTATATCATTTTGAAACAATTGTGAATCATTTTGAGAAGAAATAGGCGCAATTTTCTTATTATCAACAGCATATAAACGATATTCATTAATAAAATTTTCTGGTAAATCATTTATAAATACCAAAAAAGGCGAGGACCTAGAACAGACCCTTGTGGTACACCACTAAGTACATCAACCCAATCTGTCACATTTTCACCTAAAACCACTCTTTGTTTTCTGACTATCCACGTAAGAAGTTTACCAGAAATACCAAAAGTCAATAACTTGGATAATAACTTTTTATGTGAAACACTATCAAAAGCTTTTTTAAAATCTGTGTAAAATACATCTACTGTTCTATTGTGGAACTCATCTGTTAAAATATCTAGGTATTCTAATAGGTTTGTTGTACAGCTCTTGCTTTTCATAAAACCATGTTGTTTTTTTGAAAGTAAATTATTTTTTATAAGATGTTGCATGATACAATCAGCTATTATTCTTTCTAACACTTTACATGGTATTGAAGTTAACGAGACTGGTATGTAGTTAGATGTTTTTAATTTGCTTACTTTTTTAAAAAGTGGCATTACATTTGCCTTCTTCCACATATCTGGTAGTGTACCTGTTTCCATCGATTTTTTGAAAATTAAATATAATGGGTTTGATATTGACGAGCTGCATTTTTTTAAAACATATGGGTGAACAAAATCAAAACCGACTGATTTTGACTTATCAAGTGCTTGAAGTCTAGTTTGAACATCATTTTGTGTTATTAAAACTGTGTTTTATAATAAAATTGAAGGTATATTATGAAACTCAATAATACTTGTACAATTATCATTAACATACACAGAATAAAAATATTTATTTAGTTCAGTAGGTATAGCGAATTGATCATTTATGATTTCCCCATTATCAATTTCCAGAGCTCGAATTTGAGTTTTCACTGATTTTTTCTCATTAATTTATTTATAAAGCAATTTAGGATTTGATTTAAACTTGCTAGCTAAAGTACTTTTTAATTGTTTTATATTGTTCTTAATATCATTCTTTATTCTAATTTTTAGCTTATTATACTGAATTTTTGTTGATTCCTCATTCCAGCCATTACGTTAATTAGCAAGCCATATATTGTTTTTAGTTCTTATTTTATATTTCAATTCAGAAGTAATCCATTTGTTTCTGTTCCTTCTATTTTGATAATTAATTTTTGGGTTAACAGATTAGTTGCATAATTGTAATGATACAAAAATAAATCATACATTTTATTTATAGATTTACTTTTAAATCCATTTTCCCAATCTACATTATTGAAATGGCAAGAAAATAGTTCATAATTTCTTTTTTGATATAATCTAATGGATTTCTTATGTTCGGTAGAAGACTTATAATCATTCATTAGATAACAACACTTTAACAAATGATGACCCTGTTTGACATGCCCCAAAGGAGCTGAGTGAGTTATAGAAACAATTTTGTTTTTATCGTTTGTGATAATAAGGTCTAGAATATTAGTTGATTTGTAGTTTGCTATTTGGAATGTTGGCTCACATACACATTGAAACAGATTAATTATCAGTTGCTGAAAAAGGACAATTATTATCAGACCAATCTATTGTATTATAGTTGAAGTCACCTGTAATAATAAGATCGCTGTATTCTTTTTGATAAATACTCATTTTAGCAGCATTAATAGATAGCAAAACAAAGTTATTATACTCATGAGATATATCTGGTGGTCTATAAATGCATCCAATTAGCATTTTGTTATTTTTAAAACATATACAAGTCCATATTTGTTCTATAAAATTATTTTTTAACTGTAAATTATTTGTTTCAAACTGATTAATACATTGTTTTACATAAATACAAACACCTCCTTCATGAGTCTTTCTATCACTTCTAAAAATATTATAACTAATTATATTTACATCTGATTCTGCTTTAAACCAAGTTTCTGTAACACAAATAACATCCGGTTTATATATTTCACATTGTAACCTTAACTCATCAATTTTATTATTCAGAGACTTTGCATTTGTATACCAAATCATCAGTTCATTGCATTTTTGAGAATCGTACTCCTTGTTTATACTTAAATCACATTTCTTACGCTCATGAAAGTTTACTATTTCAATATCTAGCTGTCTCTTATTGCTCAGCAATTTGTTAAGACTTTGACCTCCACCACTAAACAGATTTATTTTGTTAGTTTCATAGTTAAAGCATCGTATGTGGTTTAAGTCTTTTTTGGCATTTAGTTGCTATTTTTTTATTTTTACAACTTTGTCATTTCTAATACCAAAGTAAAAGTTTGCCCTGTTAATATTGTCATTATTTAGTTTTTTACACTCTTCTCTTAATAGCTTTGATTTGTACCGTTCAGGTTCAGTAAAATCAGGATTTATAAATACACTTTTGTATGTTTTATCTTTCTTCAATTCCTTGGCATTTTTTAAAACAGAATTACGTTCCAATTTATCATCTAAAATAACAATATATGGAGCTTTATATCCATTTTTTGACTTTAATTTGATAAGATTTTTTATTTTGACATTGATCTTCAACTTTTTCATGATTGTTTCAATATTTTGTTTATCTTCTTCAATAGCTTTGACTTTATCACTTAATGTTGATTCCTCTAAACCGAAAATAACCAAGTTATTTTCTCTTTTATCTCTTTCTTTGGTTTCATTTGCGATATTATTAATAATTTGCATTTAATCTGGAGTTTTTTTTTACTTTACTAGTCCAATCGCCTGTCACTGCTGAACTAGATTTTGATTTAGAATTTTCTAAATCCAGAACTCTCTTAGTCAGGTTTGCATTATCTGTTCTTAAAGTTTCGACTAACTTTTTTAAATCTACGATTATTGCTTCTTGCTCACATTTGTAAGTATTGAAATCACCTAGTTGCAAGTTAACCATTTGGATCAGTGGCGGAATTACTGGACGCAGGACCCTGCGTTGCGGGGGGGGGGGGCCTACCAGCTATAGGGAGCCCTCATATAAAAAAAGTTATACTCTCAATAATATTTATACTATAAAACTCTTTTCCGCAAAAAAAACATTCTTTTGCGGGGGGGCCCAAATTTTAAAGTTCCGCCACTGATTTGGATTACTGGATAGGAGGGCTACCACCCTAAATAACAGTGGATTACCTCCTATCAGTGAAATTTTAATGTTATTATTATTAGTTTTGCTTATTACACAGGGACTTATTAACACAAGTAGAACTGTTTGTTTATTGTGTTTTTTCCGTCAAAATATATATATATTTAAAATTGCTTTATATTGAATTGAATTTAAAAAAAAATTAAGATGTTGCAATATGTATGCGAAAGGTACAACAACAACGTTTTCTGGAACTGGATATTTAAACAGATACTTGTATCCTTCAACCTTCCTTAGGAACTTCATTTTAAAAATTTTGGATCTTACTAACTTCTGCAATCGTCCAATGTATAATTCAAGATTTCTTTTTTTTTTCACTGGGCAAACTAGGAAAGGTCAACTCCCCATTAGAAATTGTTGACCTCAGGTTCTACTTGATCAGATTCCTTTAAATCAACATTTGTCTTGTCATTTACTATCATTAGAAGAAAACTACTGCTAATTTTGATGTCTCCTGATTCAGACAATAAAGATTCAAGGTTATTTAAAGCTGGTTTTGATTTTTTGCCTTCAATTTGTTTGTTCTTGGGTTTTTTTTCTGTTTTTATTTTTGTCTATCATCAATGTTATTTACTGGGATTATTTTTCCTGACGCAATTTTCCCATCTCATGTTTTCTTAGTTTTTCCTGATGCTTCATTGCGACATTGCTTCTTGAGAATATCTCTTACACCTTTATTGAATATTTCTCACCGTCATGACCTTTGTTGACATCCGAAAGCCTTTTTAATACCTGTTCTCTTCTATTTAAAAACTTTAAAGCACTTAACGTTTACGTACTCAATGTCTATAATATGTTTTATGTTTCGTTGTAAAAGTGAACAACCATTGTTCATTTTTTAGGATATTTTTACCAATAGAGCTATAAACTTTACGAAATAGTTAACTTTACGAAATACTAATTTATTAATTGAACCCTTTTGTCAAACAAAGTTTAATCAATTTTACATAAACTATTGAGAACCGTATTAATGGAACAAAATTGTTGTTTCTAATTTTGATTTGTCAATTTTGTTTTCCGTTTTACAAGCTAAGTTAAAAAACTATTTTCTTTTTACTGGCAATATACATTTGCAACCAACAATGCTAAGCGTTCGCAATTTTACATGTCTTAAAAACGAAACGAACTATATTACCACAGCAAACAGTTGAGGAATCTGGAATCATAGCATGCCATGACATGAGCAATCAGCTGACAGGTGACAATACACAGGTAGAATTTCGTTAACAAGTGCCATTTTGCAGCAGACAAAACAAGTGCAACTTTTTTGGTTTGTTTCATTTTTTTAAGTCTGGTCCGTGTCAACGTCACGGAAGTTTTTTAATAATTAAAGGAAGTATCTAGAAGTTTCCAGATGTTTCCAGAAGCATGCAGAAGCTTCCAGAAGTTTCTAGAAGAAGCATCTAGAAGCATCGAGAAGCATCGAGAAGTATCTAGAAACATTCAGAAGCATCGAGACGTATCCAGAAACTTCCAGAAGCATCAAAAAGAAGCATCTAGAATCTTCCAGAACAGGTTCACACAGGTTCATTTTACTATATAAGAGGCATGTAAACCGACATAATTCAGTCAGTATATGGAAGTCAATTAGTCAGTATTATCAAGACAGTTTATCGAAGTGAGTTTTATCAAAGTATTTTATTGAAGAACATCAATACAAGAAGTGAAAAACAACAAGTGTTTCATTACATCAATACAGTCCACATCTAACCAAGACATTGTGTTCTACAGAGCATTATTGTATCATCACAAGGTAAATGTAACACAGTAAGCCTTGAGAAGCGTGATTACTTTTTTATTTTTATAGGCGTGATTATTTTTATTATTTTTATGACTTTAAGTGCAAAAATGGCTCCCGACAGTCTTCGATTGGAACTAAGATAGAAAATTATTGGCGATTACGTAAGTGGAATGTCACAAAAAAGTATTTGTGATAAATATTGCTTGAAAAAATGGACCGTATCAAGACTATGTTCCAAATATCGTTCTACGGGGAAGTTGGCAGCAGATAACACAGGTGGAAGACCGCGTTCCATCACTTCTAGAGAGGATTCTGTGATCTTCAGATCCGTCAAGAAGAATCCCTGGATATCATCAGTCGAGATACAAAAGCAATTAGAGCTGCCTGTATCGAATCGAACAATCAGACGACGTGCTGTTGAAGCCGGATTGTTTCCTCGACGCCCTGCAAAGAAACCGCTGATTTCACTAAAGAACCAGAAGAAAAGACTCCTGTTTGCAACATCTCATATTGACTGGAAGTTGCAGAAATAGCAAATTGTCCTGTTCAGTGATGAATTGAAGTTCAATATCATTGGGAGCAATGGGATTTACCGTGTACGTTGACCGGCCGGAAAACTCCTCCTGCCATAAGACCGTGAAGCATGGTGGATTCAATGTAATGGTCTCGGGGTGTTTTTCTACTAACGGTCTTAGAACCAATATATCGAATTGATGGAATAATGGACCGTTTCATGTATAAAAATATCCTGAAAGATGTTATGTTACCTCATGCTGAATGGAATATGCCAATAAAATGGGTTTTTCAGCAAGACAACGATCCGAAACACACTGCAAAAGTAGTCAAGCAGTGGTTTCAAGACAACCACCTATCGGTGATGGATTGGCCGCCTCAATCTCTAGATCTCAACTCTATCGAGAACCTGTGGGAGGAGATCATCAACCGCAGAATTAATTGTGAAGGTGTTCGTAATAAGGATCAACTGTTTGAACAAATCCAAAAGGCCTGGGCAGCGATTTCACAAAGTTTCATTGATCACCTGATCGAATCTATGCCTCGAAGATGCAAGGCTGTGCTCCACAATAAATGATTCGCCACGAAAAATTGATAGCGAAATACAGCTTGGTCAACATTTTGTGGAGTTGCACTTGTTTTGTCCAGAAGGAAATCAACTTTTTTTAATACTTTTGATTAATTTATTAATTTTCGTATACAAATAATGAACTTTGTGATGAATAAAACTTGAAGAACGTTGTCTCCAAACAGTTACATAGTTATTTCTCTAAATTGAAAAAATGCAGCACTTTTATATAAAGAAACTAAATTAGTATTATTTGGTTGCACTTGTTTTGTCCAATACTGTATATAAATATTTTTGAAATGTAAAATTATTTTCACTCTGGATAATTTGTAAAATTTTTTTCAGTCTATATTTATTCTACATTGTTAATAGTTATTAAATCAATTGTATTTTTATTTTATTA